GGGAGGGTAACAGGAACATTTTTGCACGGCAAATTCAGCCAAGAGCGGAAGTAAATGGGGGCCAACGCGAGTGCACTCGACGCGGGACGTACGATCTTGTTTTAATCGCCGCCGGTCGCAATTAAAATTTCGTCTCGTCGAAAATGTTTCTTATTCGGCTCTCGAAACCGCCTCGTCGAGCGAGGATATTAATTAGGCAGCGCTAACATCGCCAAAGTACCGGAAAAACACGCAGAATTATCGATATCGTTAGCAATCTCGATCATTTACCAGCCACGAAAATTATTCGATTTTTCATTTCCGATCGACCAAATATTACCGATAATTTTCAATTGCATGTCCCTTTCGTTGCATTTCTCATTTAACTCGGCGAATTACTCGTTTAATATTCGGACGGTGGAACAAACTCGCAAACACGGGAAGAAAACAACCCCCTTCCGGGCAACCACCAGCACGAGGATTCGCGAATCGGAACAAATAGAATCGCCGCAGCGGATCCCGAGCACGGAAGCACGTCTACCGGCCGGAAACGGAACCGATCCCGATCCGCCGAAAAGCAAGGCCGATGGTAATTGGCGGTAAAAATTCGTCGCCTGGATGGAGCGGAAACGCCGACCGGTGGCGTCCGGGGGTGTCCGCGAGGTCGCGCGAGGACACCAGGTCGGGATTATCGAGATGGAAATTTCGTTGCCTCTGTACGGAAACGTGCCGGAGAATCAACGGAGCGTGGCAGTGTGGGTGAGCAGGAAGAAATGGCACAAAGGCGACGACGTCGGCCGCGGAATCATGGCGAAAGAGCCCCCGGGTGCAAGCGTCGTTCGGAACTTTGATCGTAAAACAGCGCCGGACTTCTCGGACTAGCTGGAGCGTCCGTCTTGAACGTCTGCCAGATCGGTTATGCTTGAATAAATTTACGTGTCGAACCGCCATCGTTCCGCAATCCTTCTGCCATCCTTTGCTCATCCTTCTGCCACTCGGCTTCCGCCATCGCGCGGTCTACGAGCCGAGGCCAGCCGCGAATAGTCGCGAGGAGGTGTGAAACGAGACGAGGGTGTAATTCCCGATGGCAGACAAGCGCGACGAGTTTCGAGTTCGAAACGATGACCCGATGTGATCGGGGACACGACAGGGGTCGTAAAACGAGGGTTAAATGGAGGATGACTCGTTTTTAATTCTCTCCCATCGATGACACGGGTTTGCGAAGCTGCGCGAGAGCTACACGAAGCTTGTTCGAATTTTCTTCGTGGTTATACGCGTCGCTTCTGTCCGTTAGATCCACGCATACGCTGACAGGATTGGGAGCTTTATTCGTGGCGCGAGGAGACAAGGAGAAAACGAAAGTATCCGTTGAAAGTAGATAATTGACTGTCTCCAACGGCTAGGTACGAGTACAGAGACGCGTCTGACAGGTTCTCCGCGCGCGATATCAATTATAGATACGTTAGACCAGGCTCGTGAAACGAATCCGTCATCTCGTAAATTAGTCGAGCGTCGAGGTACGTTAATAGTCGAAGACGAGTCTAACATCTTTTCGTTGCTCATCTGGCCGCTCTCCGAGAATAAGACTCGACCTATTCGCTGTGACGGGAAGCAGCGATAACTCGTCGACTGCTTAGGTTACTCTGGTCACCGGGACAGAGCGAGTTGACACTCGCTGGAGAATTAGCCTGGACGGCCATTGATTAATTATAATCGGAAGTCCGTAACGAGTGACAGGCCGTGACGAGAGCTGTAGCGAAGCCTTGGTCAGAGTCAAACGGGGTTGATCGACGCATCGGTCATTAGAGGCCGCGAGACGAATTGCGCGTGCAACTGCAAGTTTCAGTCCGTTTCCAATACGGTAATTTATTAGCTCTGCCCGCTACACGGTTTCTTGCCGCGCGACCGCGAGTCGAGGAACATTAGGGAAGATGGATGGAGCGAAACCGCGGCGCGGAAAAATTAAGCGAGCGTGGAAACGTCGGCGGGCCGAGTGACTCGAAGACGAGGACGCCGGAGGTCCAAACTTGGCAAGAATCGGGAACCTTGAGCGACTCGAAACTGGGTTGTATTTTGTTTTCGCGCAGACGACTTCCTGTCCCGGAAATGCCCCTGCCGGCTGCTTTAATGGCGCCATTTGCCTCGCGCGTCCGTCTGCCAACGGCGAGTCCCCGGCTGACCATACTCTGCTCTCAGCCCCCGGTTTATAAGCGTGACTCGCGACGAAATTTCGTTCTGCTCTTCGTACACTCGATACATGTCCCGAAGCCTCGTTCGATTATAAATAAAACCAGCTACGATCGTGTTTGTAAACCAAGGTGGAGACAACCTAATTCCTAGTGGTTTTACGATGTCTGAGGCGAAGTAAAAGGGTAGCCAAAAGAGACTGTAAGCGTTTAAACGCGGCATAGTAAATCTTGACGATTAAAATACCGCGTTTAATTCGAAATCCTCCTCAGGTTCGTATAAACAGCATCAATACACGTACATCCTAAGGGAAAAGGCGATATTTCTGAACCGCGAACAGGATGCAATTAGTACACGCTATACGGAGGCCAAGTACGCGATCGTAGGAACGAATTATTCCTATTATCGATTAATATTACCGGGAATGCGATACACGGTGTCTCCTAAATAACCGAACCCCTTCGTCCGAATTTCAAACATCGTCAGAACGGTCATCTCTTCTTTTTCTTGGCAGACGTTAGGGGCAAAGCGCACGAAGGTGCTCGATCTTGCTCCCAGTCATCGTTCTCTAATCCCTCCCCCTACAGCTTCTTTATTTTCGATCACGCGAATTCTTAAGTCATCCTCGTTCTTGCTTTAAATACGTCGGCCGTGTCGGCCATTGTTATGACAAACACGGAGCGAAGCAACGTTTTGGCTTAACCGAGTGCAAACGCGGCGATAAAACGTTGGAGATGTATAAAGGTGTCGTCTCGATGGACCACGGTACAAAGTTATAGAATGCAGCCAGAAGTTAAATCGAAACGCTGGGACATCGTAAAAGAGGCTTGCCGTTAATTTACGGCGGTTAAATGACAAGGAAGACCGAGCACTTTTCGTCAACGACACGGCTGCACGGCCCACGGGATAGTCTTCCGGCGAGTCGGCAATTTACGAGGGCCAATTATCGACCTGCGCTGACCTATTTACCCGTGGAATGGTCCGACGCTCCTTAATGTCCCGAATCCCGTAATCTCGGCCGACATCGGGACTATGCTTCCGCCGATGAATCACGCACGCGATAAGGAAGCGGTTATAAAACGCGGAATGGACGAGGGAGAGGGGCTGGACCGGTTGGAGCAACAGATATTTCGAGAACGGGGGATGAAGCGTGCGGGTAATGTTCGAAATATCGCTTCGAAGTAGCCCTGTTAGAAGTCTGCTACGACTGCTCGTTCGAAGTATCGCGAACCTATATTCGTTACCAGCTAAACGCTGTCAACGCGCGATTAGCGCTGATTCTCGTTTCGCCGTCTCAATCCTGCGAGTATATCCACTCGATAAATTCGGAACTCGCAGGTTTATCGATGATTCCACGAACAGATGCCTGCAGAAGTGTACGCGCGTAATTTTCCTTCCCTTTCTTCCGTTAATCTCTGCTCCTCCATAGCTGCTGTCACTGGATTGACAGACAAACGCGAGAGGTGGCTTACGGATTTATCAGACCTCTGCGATCCTACGTTGGACTCGACGCTCCGTTTCGATTTAATTTGACGATACGTCGCTGTAGCCAGTTGGGCCGGAGAGGGTTAACGAAATTTGACCAAGTTTACGCGTCGAGAGACCACGCGTGTCTCCTCACGATCGGGATCTCTTCGAGGACTGCGGTTGACAGCTTCTTGCGTAAGATTGCGACGTTGGAACGATATATGGTGGATTCGAGTAATTTCCACGGGTACGTGACCTTCGAAAGGTCGAGCAGTTGGATTTTTTATAGGAAGAACATGGCAGAATGGCTGAGCTTCCTTTCAGTCCTCCAGCCTCCTGCCATTCCGGCCTCTCCGTCGCCGTATCTCTTTTTCTGCTACATTTCTCTGTGTTCCATCCACTTGTAGTTCGTCTTTCATTCCCTTTATCGCTTGCCCGTCTCGGCGAATCAAAGACCGCGGTCGTAAAAATGGAGATTCCTGCTCAACGACAGGGCGCCGTATCGATAAGGAAAATCAAATTGTAATTCCTCGTACGTGCACGAGCACGCCGTCGACATGGTCGATAAG